GAGCGGCCGGCCTGCACCCCGCCCGAGGCGGCGGGAGATCAGGACGTCCCTCCGCGGCGGCCCGCCCCACTCCGTCCCCTGCATCCTCCAGGGCCCACCGGTGACATCAGCCAGCTCAGACCCAAAGCATTTGTTCCTGTCTTTCCTGTACGGCCCTTCCCCTTGCATTCACGCCCCGAAGTGTGTCTTCTCACGGAAATACACATTTACAACCCCCGTAGCGCAACACACGCGCATTCCTAGAATTTATGCTTTATCTCCTTCACCCAAAGCCCATCAGATCCGCTTCACCCCTCGCTCCTGGACCAAAGGGGAACGCCTTTATCCCAAGTCAACCTAGCCCTCTTTTCTCTTAACATATCTATATCTATATCTCTATATATTTCTATATATCTATATCTCTATATATAGATATATAGAAATAGAGATATAGATATATATAGAAATATTAAATACTATATTTAATAGAAACATGTTAAGAAATAGGAAATACCATATCTTAACATATATTAAGAAAAATATAGCTTTTTATATATTATCTCCATCTTTTCTTTATATATATTTATACATACGTATGTATTTGTGAGTGTGTGTATACTTGTGTTCTTTTTTTCTATCAAGATTGGAGTTCTATCACTTGAGCCACATTTCCACTTCTGAGTTTTGTTTTTCTTTTTGGCTGGTTAATTGGAAATGAAAGTCTCAGGGACTTTTTTCTGCCTGGGCTGGCTTTGAACTACAATCTTTTGATCTCAGCCTCCTCAGTAGCTAGGATTCAGGGTGAGCCATGGAGGGCACCCAGCTTGCTTCCTACACTAGGACAGAGTTGATTTTTCTCCCACTGCTTTTGGACCAGGACTGTTCCAGGACCACTGTGGGTTTCAATAAACAATTTTCAATGTATGCATAATGTATTTGCCCTCTTTTATTTTTGTTGCTAGAATTGGGGCTTGAACTTGGGGCCTCTCACTCATTTGGCATTTTCTGCTCAATGTTGGCACTCTACTACTTCTGGCTTTGTTTTGCTGGTTCTTTGGGGATCCGTTTCACACTTCCTCGGGGTTGGTTTTGAACTTCAGACTTCAGCCTCCTGAGTAGCTATGATTACGGATATAGGCCACTAGCACCCAGTTTTGCCTTTTTATTTTTTATTTTTTTAAGCACTTCCCTGGGTTGGGATGTAGCTCAGGGACAAAACACTTGCCTAGCAAATGCAACACTATGGGGGGGGGGTTCCTTCCTAGGTACCAAATAAAGAACACACACACACACACACACACACACACACATTTTAAAGTGCTTACATATTTTTACCCTTACCTGACATGTGAGAGAAAAGCCTGACTAGCGAAGGTTGATGAGTTGGAGGGATCTAAGTTCGTACACATCAAATAGGCAACTCCCCAGCCGCAATCCTTAAATGCAGCCAGCCTTGGATATCCAGGGGGGAAGGGACTCTGCGGAGAGACTCTCGGGGAGAGGGAAATTAGGCCCTGGGAGAGGGGAAGGAGTGCGGAGCCCGCCCAAGCCTCTGATCGGTGGATTGGAGATGCTCAGGCAGTGCATTTGTACCTTGGCACAAGGGTAAACTGTGGTCCTCTGTATACTGTCCACAAACACTGGTTTCTTGAACTGTGATGTTCTGCTGTGTGCGGTGTCTTTATCATCGAGAATCATTTTCAAGAGGGTTGATGAAGGGGTTGGGTGAAATGACCCCTCGCATTCTTGATTCCGATCCGATGTGAAAAATCGAGGCGCGGGGGTGGGGGTGGAGGTGGGGGAGTAGGCTGTGGAATCCTGAACCACAGATACCCTTAGGGCCAAAGCAGCTGCTAGGCCGCCTGGGCCTGGGCTGGCCTGGCCGGGGTCTTTAGGCTGAATCAGGCGCCTGCAAGGCGAGTAGAGCAGATCTTAGCCCCCGGAGCCCGGAACAAACCGGTAAATAACCAGAGGGTTGGAGTCCACTCCCTTTGCCCTCCTCCCTTCCTCTCTCCACCATCCGCGAGGCAGATCGCGGGGCTGGTGACCATCCGGGGCGCTGGAGGCTGCAAGTCTAGCCTAAGTGGCGCGCGGGAGTGGGGAGGTGTTAGATGGGGAAGAAAGTTTGGTGCCTACCCGGAGCGCCTGGCCAGCTTCTGGCTCTGGCGCCAGGCTGGCCCTTTGGAGCTCAGCACTGGTAGCACTGGAATCTCTCCGATTCTGAACTTGTGAGCGTCTCGGAAGAACCATTCCCCCCACCCCCTCTAGGCTTCAATTTCCCAATCTGTAAACTCATGGGATGGGCTCTAGAAGGCGGCAATAGATGATTCTAGATTCCTTCCGCTAGATCCACAGAGGGTGCGTGTGCGTGTGTGTGTGTGTGTGGGGTCATTTACAGCCCTGGGAGACGGCAGGCGAGGGGTGGAGGGGGCGCCTCAGGTCTGGAGACCCCCCCTTCCCCCTCCAGGCCTGAGAGGGGAGGGACAGAGGCGGGGCCGGTGCTTGGTTCCCCGCAGGCGGCGTAGACTAGAGTGACTTTTCCAAAGAACAACCTGGAAAGCCACCACCCCCTCTCCCTCCGCCGCCCCCCTGCCATTGGCTGGGCGGAGAGGTTGACATCAAAGCCGCGGCCTTAAATAAGCCAGATCGCGCTGGGGGAGTCCGCAGAAGGGTTAAACGGATCTTTTAGCCAACGGCGCGTCCTCCCTCTGGTGGGGGGGGCACGCAGAAAGGCCGCGGGGCCACGCGTGTCCTCTTCCTGCACGGTGCCCAGCGCTCCAGTCAAGCCGCCACCCAGCAGTGCGCGCGGGGAAGCCCGACTGCCCATCCGTGGCCCCCCGATTATTTCTGGGGGCGCATGGGGCGACGTTAATCCATCTTGGAGGCACCCCCACTCACCCACCCCCCCCCGTCCAGGAGCCTCTCCAGCCATGAACCTCGTGGGCAGCTACCCTCACCACCACCATCACCACCCGCACCCCGCGCACCCCATGCTCCACGAGCCTTTTCTCTTTGGCCCGGCGTCGCGCTGTCATCAGGATCGGCCCTATTTTCAGAGCTGGCTGTTGAGCCCGACAGACGCTGGTCCTGATTTCTCAGCCGGCGGGCCGTCGCCCAGTGCCGCCGTGGCTGCCGCTGCCTACGGTCCCGATGCCAGGCCAGGCCAGAGCCCCGGACGACTGGAAGCGATCGGAGGCCGCCTGGGCCGGCGGAAAGGTTCTGGACCCAAGAAGGAAAGGAGACGCACGGAGAGCATCAACAGCGCTTTCGCTGAGCTTCGAGAATGTATCCCCAATGTGCCGGCAGACACCAAACTCTCCAAGATCAAGACTCTGCGCCTAGCTACCAGCTACATCGCCTACTTGATGGATGTGCTAGCCAAGGATGCCCAGGCTGGAGATCCTGAAGCTTTCAAGGCTGAGCTCAAAAAGGCGGATGGTAGCCGGGAGAACAAGAGGAAAAGGGAGATGGTGAGTTTGTGTGTGTGCGCGTGCGTGCGTGTATGTGTGTGTGTGTGTGAACCCCGGGTCTTGCCAACAGTAGAAGAGAATCTCCACCTCACCCCGGTGTTGAGTGTGTGCGGGTTTGAAAGGCTGGGGAGAGTTTTGAGATGGTTGCAGGAGGCAGATCCATAATTAAATTCAGCTGTAATAATGGCACCATGTTCTCCCTTTTTTTTTTTTAATATGTCTGCCGGTACTGGGGCTTGAACTCAGGGCCTGTGTACGCTGTCCCTCGACTTTCTCTGCCTCATGCTCTACCAATTTTGTAGCACAGCTACAATTTCAGCTTTTTATAAAAAAAAAAAAACGAAAGAAAGAAAGAAAGAAAAACTGGTTAATTGAGATCTTTTCCTGCCCTGGCTGGCTTCAAACTGTGATCCTCAATATTTCAGCCTCCTGAATAGCTAGGATTAGAGGCATGAGGCAGCTGGCAAGACACCCTGTTCTTTAAAAAAGAAAAAAAGAAAAAAAATTAACAGTAGTTGGACAAAGGAATTCCACGTGTCAGTTTCTGAGTAGAATACATCTTGATCAGTGTCCCCCCTTTTATAATTTCTCCCCATCCCTCCCAACCGCACTCCATCCCTCCAATTTTCCTAGAGGGAAGAGTCTGTTGAAAGCCTTGAACCTCTAAAAGGTTGCTCTCAACCTATTTCTCTTTCAAATTGGGGAGGTGCTGATTGGTCTTGAGAATCTCCTGGAAAAACAGGTTTTGAAGACCAGTGGGAGTTGCTTCCATTTGCTTTTGCGTGATTTTGTGAGCCAAATCGACTTCCATCATTGTACAGACCAGGCACACTGAGGCCCAAGAAGGGATAAATAAAACCAGAAGGACACCTAGCAAAGGAATAAGATTTAGAGGGGGTGTAAAACAAGTCAGATTCTCAACTTCGGGACCACAGTGTTCCATTTATCCCCCCCCCCCTTTGGTCTAGATGGAGAACAACATCAGAGAACAACATCAACGGCTTTTGTAGATAAACAAGAAACAAATCACATTGGGTTTCAAGATCTTAAATCCCCCTTTGGCTTTTCTTGGTCTTCTGTATTTAGAGTGATATCTTTCTGGGTTTTCCTGCCCAGGGCCGTGGGGCCTGCAGGAAAAAGTGACCCGTAGACCCGCAAAGGAGTTTTCTCTTGGGTTCTTTTGCTCTGGCCCTCTTTCATGGGAGGGACCCAAGAGATCATCAAAACTCACTGGGTTATTTTGATTATTTTCTGATCTCGAATGGTAATGGTGGGGCAAGTCAGGGACTTGGGGTCACTGGTTGGAAGCCCCCTGGATCCTTTTAAGTAGCACCTCCTGGGTCTCTTGCCAGTGGAGCCTGGAGTTAGAACTAGGCCTGGCCGGATCCATCTTTTCTCTCTTTCTCCTTGGCATTGCAATCAGAGGCACTCCTAAGTACCAGCTGTAGTACCCAACTCTGTATCCAAGCTCAGATGCTAAGTTAGATTGGAAAGCCAGGAGTTGGGGGCAGGGGTAAGGGGGAACAGACCCTGGTGCCAGCAACAGTTGATTTTTATTTTATTTTATTTTTTTGGTGCCAGTCCTGGGGCTTGATTGAACTCAGGGTGCTGTCATTGAGCAAGGCTAGCACTCTACCATTTGAGTCACAATTCCAGTTCCTGCTTTTTTTCCTTTTTCTTTTTTGTTTTTCATTGGCGATCCCAAGTCTCATGGATCCCAAGTCTGATGGACTGGCTGGATCTTCAGATCTCAGCTTCCTGAATAGCCAAGATTACAGGCATGAGCTACCAGCCTGGCTAAAGTTCTTGTTGTTGTTGTTTTAATTCCTCCCATTCACCTCACTGTAGTATTTCTTGGGTGCCACAAAGCTAAACCAACACTCATCCGTTCTGTTTTGTTGGTTTTTTTTTTTTTTTGTCAGATAGTATAGAGAATTTTTTTCTTACCAAACCTCCCAAGAGCCGCTGTTAGACCATCCCGGATCCCAGGAACTTGGCACATAAAAGGCAAATTTATGAGCCTGTTTATTCCGATTTCACAAACAGAAATCCGTCACTTATTTAAAAGCTACCAGTTCCTCCTCGCCTGCATTTTCCTCCTCACCCCTACCTCCCTAGCTGGGTGATTGGAGAAAGAAAAAAACAACACATTGAAACCTGTCTTTCACTTCTTTTCTTGTTCTGTCCATTTGGCAGCCGCAGCACGAAGGCTTTCCTCCAGCGTTGGGCCCTGGGGAGAAGAGGATTAAAGGGCGCACCGGCTGGCCGCAGCAAGTCTGGGCGCTGGAGTTAAATCAGTGAGCCAAGATCCGTGCTACGGAGGACCTGGCCGCCACCGGCTGGCTGATCTGGTATCCTGGGAACAGGGGAAAGGCAGCAGTGGCAAAGGCCAGTCTCTCTGGGTTCCAGAGACTTGTGGGGACGCGTCTTGTTGAGCCCCTTCTGAGTACCGGCAGTGGGTCACCCGCTTGCAAAACATACACTTGGATCGCACGTGCAATGTCATTTGAAATTGTCTTTACTGCAGTTAAGAGAAAGAGAAATTTATATAGATATCTATATATATATGTCCACTTCCTCTAACTAAGGGCCTGTTGGAGAAAAGAGGGACTGGAATCCAAGCACCCGAACACTTGGGATGTGTCTAATCTTTTAGGGGTGTGTGTGGAATTTAGGGTTTCTCCCCCCTAAATGGCATCTTCACTCTGCGATCTGGCTTTTCTCTCCACTTCCCCCCCATCCCGGGTTTGTTCAAATTCCAGATGCCTGGTTCTCTTAATTAAAATGCAATACAAGGAATCAATCGTTTTTTTTTTAGCCAGGGTAAGAGAACACAGAGGAGGAAGATGGAGAAATGATTTGTATTGTTTTCTTTTCAACAGCCATGTTATTTTATATTTTTCTCTTTTTGTTGCTGTAATTCGTACCTAGAGGGAAGGAGGTTTGGAGGAGGTAAATTTTGTTCCTCCTGTATTACGAAGCTGCTTCCTTGTGCTGGTTTCCAAGGAAAAATTTTTTTTTTTACTTTTTTTCTTTCCTTTCTTCTTCACGGCATTTCTTTTCCTCGCCTCCCCCTCCTTCCCTCCCTCTCTCTCTCCCTCTTTCCTTCCCTCCCTTTTCCCTCTCTCTCTCCCTATCTCTTCCTTCCTCCTTCCCTCTCTCTCTCTCTCTCTTATTATAGCCTTTTGTTTTTGTACTGGTTCCTGGGGCTTGAACTCAGGGCCTGGGCGCTGTCCCTGAGCTTTTGTGCTCATGACTAGTGTTCTACCACTTTGAGCCACAGCACCATTTCCAGCTTTTAAATTTTATTTTTTATTTTTGGCAATTCATTGGAGATAAGAGTCTCCTGGACTTTCCTGCCCTGGCTGGCTTCAAACAGTGATCCTTAGCTCTCAGTATCCTGAGTCGGCTAGGATTACAGGTGTGAGTCATTGACACCTGGCTAGCTATTTTTCTCCCCCTTCCCCAAAGTTGGCACTCTTTTTCTTTCTAAATAAAAACTTTCCTCTAGGTTGTAAAGTTTTTATGTATTTAAACTACCTATGATGCCTGGTGTGCTCAGGTATTTCTCCCCCTCGCTTCCCCCAATTCCTTTTCTACCTCAGATCTATATGGACACTCACCCCCCCCCCTTCCCTTGGCAAAGGCAGTATCTATGCTCTTGATTAATAATAAAAAAAGTTTTCTAAAATACTGAGGGGCCCCTGTGTGATGTCTCAGTCAGTTTCCCCTCTCCATGGTGTGTCTTCTGGGGTTTGGAAAGTCACAGTCCTTGTTTCTCCTTTGATACCAATCAAATCAAACTGCAAACCAAACCTAGGGGAAAAGGCAGATTAAAATTTTCTTCTGAGGGCTGGGATGCAGCTCAGTGGCAAAGCGCTTGCTCAGCAAGTGCAATGTCCTGGGTTTGATTCCCAGTACCCAAAAAGAAAAAAAAAAAGAAAGAAAGAAAAGAAAAGAAAAAGAAAAGAATTTATTCCTGGAAGCCAGGCACTGGTGATTCATGCCTGGAATCCTAGCTACTGAGGGGCTGAGATCTGAGGATCCAAAGCTCATCTCCCAATTAAGCACCAAAAAAACAAAACAAAAAAAGCACCAGAAGTGGAACTGTGGCTCAAGTGGTTGAGCACTAGCTTCTGGCAAAATGAAGCTCCGGGACAGTGGCCAGGCCAGGGCTCCAAGACTGGCCCAAATTTTTAAAAAGAATGTATTCCTAGAAGGGAGAATAAAATTGTTAGCTTGAGGCAGGAGGACAGAAGAAAATCAATGTTTGCAAGAAATCAATGTTTGCAAGTTAGTATGTAGCATGGATGTCTATAGACTGTGGTTTGGTGGAACTATTGGAAAAGGAAGGGGAAGAAAAAGGAAGGGAAAATTAGGCAAGAGAAGGAATAGGAACAGAAAGGAAAGGAGGGAAGAGAAGGAAGGAAAAAGAAGGGTCTGGGCGGGTCCCAGAGAAGCCGGAGCCTCGGGGTAGTTCGGGAGATTCACTGGTGGCTCGGAATGCACTCGCCGGGGATTAAACTCCACGTCCAGGTACCCTTTGGTACCTGGGTGGTGGCTGGCGACTGCAGACCCTGCAGGGGCCGGCTTAGCAACCCTTTCAGCTCAGCGGGGAGGCCAGTCCGAGCTAGACATTTAGGAGCAGCTACTAGCGGTTCCCGGTGAAACCTAGATTTCTCTCCACTGGCAGAGCACTTAGCAAACAGTTGTGAGCACTTGTGGATTTGTGCACAAATCCACATTTCGGGTGGGGGGGGGGGAGCATCCAGGGTTGGTCGGACTTCGTAAATGCGGGTGCATTTGCCTGGGCGCTCGGAGGGAGAGGCCCGGGTAGGCTTTGGGGCTTCTGTGAACGAGCAATGGGTCCCTTGCGTTTCGTGGTTCAAGAGGCGGAAAGCAAGCGCGGGGCACCGGGTGCTCTCGGCACCCCGACCTTGAGCTAGGTCTGGAATTGGGGACACGACTGGGAGACTCGCCCCAGGATCCTGCGCCCCCGCATCGGGGTGTCTCCGATTTCTCCCTCTTGGCTCATAAACACCTCGGTGGCTGGCGGCGAGGCCCACGCGGGCCTTTCCAGAAGCGAAGGGGTTAATCCGAGGTGTTTTATGGGGCACGGGGCAGTGGGGGGGGAGCTGTGAGCCTTTCCACCCCATCTCAGGTACTTGTTCTGTTTTTGTTGTTTTTTAACTCCTCGCACCCACCCCCCTCATCTGCCACGACATCAAACGAAGCCGGCGATTTAACTGGGGCAACACCTCGCGGTAATGAGCCGCCCGACGCCCTCGGGGCTGCCCCGCCGAGGCCCCAGGGCCCCTCGGGGAGAAGGGGGGGAAAAGGTTTATTTATATATACACGTACGTGCATGTATAAAATAGCATACAGTCGTACATTTACATCTGTGCGCATAGTTATTTACAGATATGAATATGAAAACAAATATTTAATGTAAATATAATATACATTTATACTTATATACTCACTACATTTAAATGTAAGTATTTAAAGAATTAATGTTTACATACTTATATTTAAATTTTATCTATGTGTAATGCATATAGATTATAAAAGATATATAATTTATAAATATACGCATATAAATATATACTATAATAACTATGATATGTAATATATCATTATATCACGTATAATATGTGATATATATGTTTATATAAATACAAATGTAGTACTTAGATGAATATAAATATATTTATATGTATAACTTATAAATATAACATAATGTAAACATTTAAATATAAGTATATAAATATATTATGTATTTATTTATATAATATGCAGCTACTGTATATTATATATACGTATTTTTTTTCTTTTCCCCCAAGAGCTGAGAATCCTTGGGAGTTAAATTCTGGGGAAATAGAGATGAGGAGCAAGCAGACTGAGGGTTCCACAAAGCCGGCAGAGAGGAGCCTTTGCTAGATTCGAACCCGGGATCACAGTTAGGCTCACAAACCTCTGGCTGTGCACGGGGCCAGCTCTTGGAGACTATTTTTAGCCAAGTGAAGCATGCTAGGCATGGGAAGAATGCGTACCCGCTGCTTCCTCTTCACGGGAGGAAGGAGGGGGTACCTAGCAGGGCCCCCCCACAACAATCCTGTTCAGAAAACTATATAGCAGAGCCCCAACTCTGTTTAGAGAGGGAGGGTTTGACTCGCAAACGAGGTTTTGAGTCAGTATGGGGTCCCCCATTTTGGAACCCCTGTCTGCGAGCCAGTGGCCTGTTAAGGAGGCTATGGGCAGGACTTCTTGCTTCACTCCCGAGATGGAAAGGGGGAGCCCAGGAGAGAGGAACGGAGTCTCTCCACCCCACCCTGACCAGTCAGGGGTCTGGGAGCACCCCCCAGCTCTCAGCCTGCTATCTCTGATCTTTCTCAAGGTGCTCATCCTTCCTCTCCAGCCTGCTGCTGTTTTTCTTATTCCCTGCCCAGTGTTCAAAAATTTACCAAGAACCACTTTGCAGAAGCAATTATCATCATTATTTTTAGTTTTAGTTTTTATTTTTGTGCTATTCCTGGGGCTTGAACTCAGAGCCTGGGCGCTGTCTCTCAGCTTTTCAGCTCAAGGCTAGAGCTCCACCACTGTGAGCCACAGCACTCCTTCCATTTTTCTGGTGGTTAAGTGGAGGTAAGAGTCTCGTGGGCTTTCCTGCCTGGGCTGGCTTTGAACCTTGATCCTCAGATCTCTACCTCCTCAGTAGGTAGGATTACAAGCGAGAGCCACCGACTCCCAGCTTACCATCATTTTTATTTTTACTTTATTTTATTTTTGTGCCAGTCCTGGGGCTTGACATCAGAGCCTGGGCACTGTCCTGAGTTTTTGTGCTCAAGGCTAGTGCTGTATAGAGCCACAGCTCTACTTCCAAGATTTTTGTGGTTCATTGGAGATAAAAAGTCTCATAGACTTTTTCTGCCTGGTCTGGTTCCTCAGATCTCAACTTCCTTGAGTAGCTAGGATTACAGGTGTGAGCCACCAGTGCCCACCAGAATCATTATTTTTAATTAATACCTTTTCATATAGAAAAAAAGAATGGAATGGTCAGGAATTTAGAAATGAACTCCAGCATTATGTCATAAGGAAATGGGCTCTTACAAAACACAACTACAGAATCATGGAATTAAAGATAGAAAACTAGGAAAAGACCTCCTTGGTTTAATTAGAGACCTAGTTAAATAAGTCCATTAGGGGGCAGGGAAGGTGGCTCAGTGTGGTAGAGCGCTTGCTTTGCATACATGAGGCCCTGGGTTTGATTACTGAGCACCACATAAGCAGAAAAAAAGCCG